GGGTTTGGGGGGGTTTTTTGGGGGGGATTGCTTGTAAATAACCAGGGTTAAGTCACATGGCACATGTATTTTATTGCTAAAGCAGCATGCTTAGTCTGAACAGTAGTAAATATGTAGGACTTGACAGGTGATTGTCAGCAAAACACTCAGCGCGCTGGATATGTGAGGGCTCAAGTTAAGGGATGGCGGCTAAGCGGCCTCCCTTTTGCAAAGTGCAGCTCTGAGTAGTTCACATCTGAGAAGTGAATGTAAAAGTGGCTTTTTAGAGTCCCATATTTTATGCCTTTATCTCATTACACATCAAATCTGTTCAACCTTTTTACATGTAGAAAAGAGAAAAAAAAAAAAGAAAAACCTTTTCCCCTCCCTCTTCACTCTTCCTACTGCCATAAATTGCCTAAAATCTGAAAGTCAAACAGGATTCTTTCTGGTTTGTGCATTGCCTGCAGTTAAGGATTCTGAAATGTGAATTTGGGTTTCTCTTCTATTGATAATCTAAGGTAGCTTATTATAAAACTCTGTTTTTGATTAAGTGTGAAAAAGATAAGTTAATTTGGGGGTTGATTCAGTAGAAATTTATGAGTACTGTGATTAGTCCTAAGAGGTCTTCACTGGAACCAATCACAGTACACAAAATCAACTACCTGCATGGGTTTTTGCCAGTAAAGTTTTAGGGCAGTGGCTTATGATATAGTTCTCTATGGTATTCAATACTGTGGCCTAACTTTTTGAAAAAAAAACTGACGGTAAAGGTTCCAAAACTTAAGAGTAGCAGCATTTAAGCATTAGTCTATCAGGGATAAAAAAACCCCAAAAACCTCTCTCAAGATTTTTCTGCTATGCCATATATATTGTGTTATGTTTTTATGTCTACTGTAGCACTATGTCCCAGATAAAAACAGAAGATGAACTGATGCTTTTTGAAAGAGAAATAAAAGAGTTTTGGACCAAGTTCAAAAGTATCTGTGGTTGTGAACAGATCAATCAGACTCTTGTACTAAGAGATTCCTGCAAAGAGTCCATAAAAACATTTTCAGGTACAACATTTACATCTTCACATTACTACTAATTTCAATTTTATTTCTTCAGTTTCCTTTCTTTGTCCAAAATAAATGTTTTTATTTCAGAGAAATGGTCCAGAAAATTAAAAGAAGGTGATTTGATGATTGCTAAGATTCAAGAGTACGCAGCTGGTACAGTATGAGGGTTTATTTATAGCTTTTAACTTTTTTCTAGAATGAAACCATGTGTTTGTTAAAACAGTTAAACAGAATATTTCTAGTCTAAATGCTTTCTCCAACATAATGTGAGTTCTGCAAAACAGAAATAGCAGAAGAATTGTGTTGAGAGGAATGAATATTTTAAAACTGAATTGAACACTTTCTCTTTTATAACATAAAGTATGTTGCCCTAACAAGAAATGAGTAGAAAACACCTTGCACTCAGTCTAACAGGAAAGGTATAAGGTCTAGTTACTTTGGTGAAGAAACAAAAACTAACTCGCTTATGAAAGATAACGTAACTTCTGTGAGATCTAGGCACCGCTTCTTTCCCCATGGTCAAAGTGCACAGTGAGCATGTGAATTCAGGATTACCATATTTATTCGAATTTAAGATGACCTTGAATTCAAGACAACCTCCAATAATAAGATTCTGTACATAGAAAACTTATAAATTTGTCATAATTTTCCATATATAGAATCTTATTATTGGAGGGTCATCTTTTAATTCATCCCTTCCACTGCTGCAGGGGGGGCATGCAGTGGGGAGGCAGATGGTGTGGGGAGGTCAAACAGTTTGCTTCCTGATTGTGCTTGTCCCCTACAGCCTCTTCTTCTTTGTTCCCTGTCCCTCCCCACCCCATCTGGCAGCCTCTGTACCTCCCTGCCCTCCCCTCCTCTCAGTCTCTGCTCCATGCTGGTAGGCTCTGTCCCCATTCTACTCTGATCACTGAGCATGGTCCCAGACAGCCTCATAGCACCTGTGTGTGCTGCTGCTGCTACAGGGCCAGGCTGTGGCTGTGTTCAGTGCCCGAAAGCTAGAATGGGAATCAAGGCTGTTGGCATACAGCAAAGGTAAGAGGGGGAGGGAGAGAGACAGGCAAGGGACCAGAGGCTGCTTGGGGGAGGGGAGGGAAAGGGGGAAGAGGCGTCGGGGGGGATGGCAGGGTACAGAGGTAGCAGGGTATGGCTGAAGGAGGAAGGGGCAAGTAAGGGCTGGACCACCTGCCCCCCACTACTGCCCTTGCATTCAATTTTAAGACCCCCCTCCATGTTAAATGGGAGGTGGGGGGGGACTTCATTTTAGAATTGAGTAAATACAGTAACTCATTTGAGCTTAATTATTCACCTTCAAGTGTTGGAACTAAAATTTGCAAATTAATTGGCAATTAATATCTGTACATCATGTCAGTGGAGACATCTAATGAAGCCACGGTGTTAAAATGACAGGAAGCCTAAAGCTGTGCAATTCTGTCACTGAAAATAAGCCAACTAGAATGTGTGGATAGCCATGAGGTACCAGAATGCCTCCACTTAGAATTTTTTTGTGGCTTTTCATCTAAGCATATAACCAGAACAGATCAGATTTTATAGTTGTACTTGATGTTCTCAGGAGAAAGTCTGCCTCCTACACACAGTATATATGTGCATAAGCGTTTCTCAGACTGGGGACTTATTTAGCTAAGCATTAATTATAAATATTTGGGTTTACTCTTCTCACAGAAATCCTTCAGGAGAACAAATGCATTGCAGAAAAACAAGAAAACTTGGCACAAACAAAATCCAAAATTAAACAGGAAGAAGAACAAAGGAAAGACTTGATGGAGAGCATCAGATTACTCAAGGAAGAGTTGATTAGAAAAAAGGAAAGTAAGTTGTAGAGCTGATAAGTCTCCAAAACACTTAGGATGTGAAATCACCTAAGTGTTTGCTGGTGGCTTTGCTTTAGAGCAATAGATGAACATACATATTTAGGGTTGGTACTTTAGTGCTGCCATGGTATAGATATTAATTATTTGAGATGCAAGGATAATGTGCTTCCGTGTTTGAATCGTTATATATGTAAATATTCCATTATTAAGGGACCAATGAACTAAAACAAATCCTGTAATTTCTCAATGTAATAAGCAGTATATTTTTGTAATTGGCAACTACATCAACAATGCTTTCAACAGCTGAGTATACTATAGCAATTTTTTATTAAGATAGCTTTCCAAAACAAACAACAGGCTAGTGTGCAAAAAGCTTCGACTGCGCAGAGTAAAATGAATAGAAATAGCGTGGCTGTCAAGAACAAGAAATTTCTTTTTTACCAGAGGAAAAATGCTAACAAACTAATTCTTGGCAAAATTTTCTACTGTTCTAAAAATTTGTTTTTAAATGCTTTCCTTTTGCTTTGATGCTTACTGTAGCTCTTTAATACATTTTAGTTTTGTCCTCTAAAAACAAGGCCACTAAGGAGAGGGTGGAAAGACTCTGTAAATCTAAAGCACTGTTTGAAGAGCGGCTTGCATTAGAAATACGCAGAATTCATGGTAAGTTTTGTTCCTGTCTATTTGTACTCTTTCAGTGGGATTGTTGCTGGATTAAATATGAAGATCACCTAGCGAACACATTGTTTCCTGTTACATAATCATAAAGGAATTTAAGTCTCACTTCAAACGAAAGTCTAAACTTACTAAACCAAGTTAAAACCCTGAACTGTGTTGTGTTTGATCATACTGCTCCTTTTAAAGTGGATCTTTAAGTCCCTTTATAGACTTTGTTTAAATGATTCTTTATACTTTGAGTCATTTCTTAACATACCTATTAATTGACTCACTCCAGTTCAGGGGTGGGCAGAGTCTGGCCTGTGGGCTGGTTTGGGCCTGTGGTGGATTCCATTTCCCAGCAGCCCCTGACTGCGTTGCTGCAGCTGGTTTCCATGAAGACCCCAGAAGCAGCAGGACTATGACAGCGAGACTGGCTCAAGCAGCGCTGGCAGGGCACGCAGCTGGGCTGGGGTCAGGGCTGGGGTCAGGATCTTGGGGTGGGCCAGAGCTAAGGCAGAGCTACAGTCCGCTGTGTGTAGGCAGTAGATGGCAGTTCTGCCCCGGCTTCAGACCACCTTGTCACCACTGCAAAATTCTGGCCCCAGAGCAGCTCCCAACCCATCCATTGCCTTGCCAGCAATGCTTGGGCTAGTTTCCATGGAAACCTTATCACTCATGGCTCTGCTGCTTCTGGGGTCTCCATGGAAACCAGTCACAGTGATGCAGGCAGGGGCTCCTGTGAGTCTGGCCACTGGCCCAATCCACCATTTTGCCCATCCCTGCTCTAGCTCCATTGGTACCCAACATTTTTGCCTAGCAGTCCACATTGGCAGCGCTCAGTCCGTCAGCAGTCCAATCCAGTCAGTGGTCTTGATACAATGCAAGCACCATCTGGCTGTGGGGGTTGCAGACAGGCTGGCCCTGTACAGAGGAAAGGGACATGGCCAGGGTGTGGGGGGGCATAGCCAGGCCCTGACCCAGCCCCATGAGGGAAAGGGAGCATAGCCCAACCCCAATGAGAAAGAAGAGGGTGTGGCTAGGCCTGAGCAGGGGGAAGTAGGGCATGGCCTGACCCCAACCTGGCACTGTGGGGAGTGCAGGGGGCCCGGTCTCAATCCAGAAGCAGAGGTTAAAGAGGGGAGTGTTGCCTGGCCCTACAGTGGAATGGTACATAGCTTGGCTTCAGCAGCTGTGCAAGGAGTGGGGCTTAGGGATTTGGCAGGGTGGCTGTATTAATGGCCACTGCTGCCCAGCTGCCAAATTTCTGGACCCATGGGGAGCTCTGCAAGCTGGATATGATAGCCCGGTGGGCTGCATTTGGTCAGGTCAATTTTCCTGACAAGTTAGACACCACCACTCTCATCAGTAGACAAAAGATGGTTTATTAAAAAGTTGCATCTTGTATATGGTTAAACTCTTTGCTGTAGTATATTGACATGATTTTGTACTTGTTTTGCTCAATCAGATATTCAGTTTGAAAGTAGTGTGTTGCCAGTGTATGTTGCAAATGACAGATTTTTATCTCCCTGCCATAAAGTCTTACTGCTTCTGACCACAAAGGTGCAGTAAGATAAACAGCTATAAAACTTTCCAATTAAAATAGTATTTACCGACTAAAATCTTTGAAAGATTGTTAGAAATAAATAATTTAGATCATATAAATTAAAATGGATTTATACTAATACAATAGTAGTTTTATTTTGTAGTCTCACTCAAGCTGTACTTAACTGTCAAATAGGTAGATTGACATGCAAGTACTTCAGGCTCCAAATTTTATTTTCTGTTTAAAAAATGAGAGCGAGCTGGGCAGATTCACTAAACATATCAATATTTTCTAAAATACATTTTAATTACTGACTTTGAACCACAGTTTACTCAGTTGACCATCACTCAGTCTGATAAGCTAAGGTAATGGTTTGGCAGAAATCTTTTTCTGTTTATGCTTTTAGATGAACAGTTGCAGTTCATATTCCGATGCATTGACCACAAAGATCCTGACAAGCCTTTCATATTCACTCTTTCCATAAATGATCAGGGAGAATATGAAGGTATGTGTTGATTTTCAGCTAATCATTTTGTTTGCTTTTAAATCACTTTGCTTCTTTTATGAAATTTGTTATAAAATATACTGGGACATCTGTATGCTCACACTCTAGCACATTTAAATGAGTTAAAAAACTTCTGACTGAGCCTACAAATTACACCTAAAAAGTACCTTTTCTTGTCCCCTCATTTCTTTTATTTTACTTTCTTTATTTTCTTTCCCTTCCCCCTGCTGAAAATTCAGGCCTTTTCTGAGATCACCCAACCCAACTGTCTTCATTAAGAGTTCATTGCTGCTGCTTTCCTTCCCTACCCAAAAGCCCTTGAGAATTAGTCTTTTATTCCTCCTCTCCTTAAAGAATAATTCTGAAATCTAGCTTTTAACCAATTGTTGCTGCTTACCCTGTATGCATAGGTTGTGGTAGTTGATGGAGGATTAAGTATCTTTGTACCCTCATGCTTTCTATACCACCATCACCTGTATGTGTTCATGAGACAGAAAAGATAGCTTTTTATTCAGCCTAACTTACTGGCCAATGAGACAGGTGAAGGAAAGCTCTGAGGCACAGCCTGATGCACTTTTCAGTCCTAGCTACTGTCTGTCCCCAGTCTTACAGAGTATCAAACCCAACACCCACAGAAGTTTTGATCATGAATGTAAAGGTACAGTTCTTTACCAGTGCTTGGAGACAACTTAAATAGTGCTCTAAGCCTACTTATTTTCCCTTTTCAACTGTCCATAGGATGGCAAAACACAGAAAGATGTAGCCAGGATTAATAACAAATAGTTACAAATTACAATTTTCCCTTGGCCTTCCTTCCACACAACATGCATAAACCCTAGACTTGCTAGTTTCCTAAGAGTACATTTTTATTAATAAGCAGAGAATAAGGGCCAAATTCTGTCTTGCCTTTTGTCCAAATCTGCTGGCATACATTAATTTGGCCTTAAATATCACTTTAAACAAATGGTGTTTTAATAGAAAAAACAAGGCTATTACTGTGTAATAGTTGTGTACAAGATGGGTGAATTAAAGTTTCCCCAACTAAGGAAACAGCATTTTCTCAGAGTGTAGAAGCTGCTTTTTCCACTCAAAAGTGATTACTCGCTTTGCTTGAAGTTAATTGTCATAGTGCTCAAGAAAATGCCACACATCCCTTTATTTAATACAGTGGATAGCAATAGTAAGGGATTTCTATTTTCACAGTTTCAGATCTAAACTGCTCTCTTCCAAAATGTCTTGTAATCTTTCTCTCCTGCCCTACTACTCAACCTCTCTGTCTTCTGCTGAGCTACATCAGTCTGCACACCTGCAGAGCAGCAGAAATGCTCAGGAATACATTGAAGGTTTTGAGTCAGGCAAGAAATGCTGTGACAATCCAAGTAGCAGCAAAAGCAGTGGCACAAGGGGAAAAAGTAGGCACGAAAACAGTGTGTTCTTGGACAAGGCCCCACTTTCTCCTTGCTAAAAGTTAGTTATTCTCTGGAAGTTTAGACTTAAAATAGACAAACACAGTACTTGCAAAGATAAAAAAAAAATGGTTAGGATGTTACTAAGACTTATTCTTATACGAATCTAAAAAAGAGACATTGTGAAATAATTGAGTCAAACTTTTCTTCTTGGCAAAAAATCTTGAGACTGAGGGATCAGTGTATGAATGGCTGCCTCCTCTTAAAATTAAAGATTTTTCACATTTATTTTCTTTTAGTGGTATCCTGTTCTCCTCCTCTGGACTGCATGGCAGACCTCCAGTTAAAAGTGAGAGAAACCAACAACTTCTCTGCATTTGTTGCTAATGTCAGAAAAGCTTTCACAGCTTTATCATATAAGTAATCTGTAACAGTATATATGTGCAAAACTGGCTTTATCTCTCTCTTCCTGTCCCTGGGAGCATTCACAATTTTTTTCCTGTTTCCATTAACCTGAAAGGAGAGCAAAGATACTTATACATGGTTTTTAATATTCTCTTTTCTAAATAAAGAAAAAAATGTTTTTGTAAATTATCCTTACCTAAAGGCATTTTGGTATTATTTCAGAAACAATGTAGTCTAGCAAATACTTCCTTAGTGAAATGCGTTTAGACATGTAGCATGGATTCAGTAGAATATAGAGTTAAGTTTGTCTTGTATTTCAGGTAGGGTACCCATATGGGACAATGTGAAGTCTGGCACACTACCCACCCCCCTGCAGGTTGCAGGGAGTCAATGGCCTGTTAATTATCCATTGTTCTTTACTTCACAGGTGTTAACATGTGAAGTAACAGTTAGCGCTAATGGCCATTCCATTAATCCAGCAACTTGGCTGTTTGCTAGGGGTTCCGATTTCACAGCTCCTGCTGCTCTGCCTTTGCACCTGGAACACTTGTTTTAACTTTCATTGGTCAGCCAGGACCTGCCTCAGAAATCCAGGACACATGGTCACATTCTTTTTAGAGGCTCACAAAAGAATCGCAGTGTAGCTATTAACAATGAGATGATATTTCTGTTCAGAAAGTCACCCAGAAAAAGAAGAGATGCACAACTAACTGCCACTTTTCTTTTAAGACTTGCAACAAGAACAAAAAGTTTCACCTGATGAAGATCCTAAGTGTGTTGTGATAAAGATTTCACAAAACAGTCAAGTTGCACTAACAGTTGCACAGGGCAGATTGTTTATACCGTATTTTCTTGCAAAATACCTACATCTTCCAACAGGTGTAGCTGAATTGAGCCAGTCCATAGGGTTGAGATCAGGGCCAGCATGGAGCCCCCAGCTTGGTGTGTAGTCCCTCTCTCCCAAGCCCCTGGCCCATGTACAGTCCCCTAGCTGCCTGGCCCCCAGCCCTGGCTTGCAGCTTGCCAAGCCCCCAGACCTGGTGTGTGTGCAGCCCCAAAGACCCCAGACTTCAACCACTTACCCATATTCTGAGGTATGGTCTTTGTTCCTTCTTGGGACCTTACAAAAATAGGGTGCATGTTATATTTGGAGACATGTTGTATGCGAGAAAATACTGTAATCTGTCTTCATGGTAGGCAGATCCATGTTTATTTTAACGAACTGAGCATTTTTTTAAAAAAAGGCCTTTTTTCTATGTGAATGTTGAACCTATGAAAATAGGAAATGTCTATATCAACTAAGTGACATTTTCTCTAGGAATCAGTTATCTTCCTTTTAATATAGTAGTAATACTTATATTAATACAACTAGATGACTAACGTTTTGTGTGCCATTACAGCATGTCCTGTTTTTTTAACAGCCAGCAAGGCCAGCCATACCTTGTCATGCATTCAAAGATGCATCTCAAGCTGGTCCAGAGAGGTGATCCTCCCACTCTACGCAACACTGGTCAGGCCACAGTTGAGGGCTGTGGCCAGCCTGGAGAGGGTTCAGAGGAGGGCCACCTGCTTGGTGAGAGGGCAGCAGGACAGGCCCTATGAGGCAAGACTGAGGGGCCTGAATCTGTTCAGCCTCAGCAAGAGGAGGCTGAGGGGGGACCTGGTGACTGCCTACAAACTCATCAGGGGAGATCAACAGCAAGTAGGTAGAGCCCTTTTCTCCCCAGCACCACCTGGGGTGACAAGGAACAATGGTAATAATCTGATGGAGAATAGGTTTAGGTTAGAGATCAGAAGGCAATATTTTACAATTAGGGTGGCCAAAATCTGGAACCAACTTCCCAGAGAAGTGGTCCTCGCCCCTACCTTAGGTAGATTCAAGAGGAGGTTGGGTGATCACCTGTCTGGGGTCTTGTGAACCCAGCATTTATTCCTGCCTGTGGCAGGGGGTCAGGCTGGATAATCTTATCAGGTCCATCCTGACCCTAGCTACTATGAAACGGATCTTCCTTTGCCCTCATGAGAGTTGCATTCTCAGTAGCATAGAAATTACTTTTAAATGGATTAAAATGGGGAACTAGATTCTGAAAAAGAAGGAAGAGCTTAATTACCTTTTAGCAAACTTACCTCCTCACCCCTTTTTAGCCTTTAGCTGGATTTATTGGCCCTTGGATTTGTAAAATGTACAATTACAGGTACTTTCCATACAGCAGAATGAAAACCCATACAAGTACAGGGAAGTTCATTGAGTTGATAACTAGCATGCCGAATGGACATGGCAACTTTATAAGTATTTGTATAGTGGAAAGGCATTGTCCCAATTTTTTATATGAATTTTTAGAATAGGTAGAGGTGAAAGCCTAATTTGGTAATTTGTATTTCAACTAATGGGGGAAGATAGAAGATTAAATAGCGGTTCATATAACTTAAGTAAAGTTCTTACAGGAACTTGCAGTGAACAGAGGACCAGATCAAACATCCAGGGAATTAAAGGGACATTGGATCTGGTTCAAACTATTGTGGGGACCTGGAAAAACATGAAACAAACAAGATGAGCAGAGAACAGTTGTAGTACAGTTCCCTCCGTACCTTTCCTTTTACCCTAAAAACCATCGTAACTTCTGGAAGGCTTTTGTGAAAGATGTCTATAGAATTTTTGATGATCTAATCTAGTCTATTGTAAGACATGAACATGATCCATGGTTTAGCTTTATAACAGGAATACATTTAAGAATTCCCTTTTCTTATCATACTCTGGAGGCGCACACGTGAGGACTGAACAAATATTAATATTGGTATACTATATCTGTAAGACATTTATGAGAACAGGGTAAAAATTACTTTTGCATATACTGCTTATTTTATCACAGAAGTTTTAAGTCATGTTGGTTGATTCAGGCCCAAAATTCAGGTCTCTTTGGGGGGAAACAAAGTATTATAAAAGCTAATAAATGGAGTTGTTACTGAATTAAAACAATCCACATGCATTTAATATTTTTTTGTTTGAATTCTACATTCTGGTGGTTTTTGTGACCAACTCTGGCAGCATTCTGATATTGTATGAGACCCAAAAAATGAAACCATGACTACTATTCCAAGCTGCTTATTCATGCTGCTCATTACTGTCAAGTGGAAAGAGATCAACACGTGGCTGCATAGATGGTGTCACCAGCAGGGCTTTGGCTTCTTTGACAAATGGGTGGTGTCTTGAGAAGATGGACTCCTGGGAAGAGATGGGGTCTGCCTGACCAAGAGGAAATAGTGTCTTCATATACAGGCTTGCTACCCTGGGGGGAGGGCTTCAAAGTAGTTCCACCAGAGGTTTGAGACAAAAGCCCAGAGTTAAGTAAAGATTCTGCAGATCTGGACAAAAACTTGGTAAGGAGAAGCAACAACCTTAGCAATGTTCTCCTGTGGAGGATAGGACAGTCAGCTAGGTACTTGAAATGTTTCTAGACTAATGTGAGAGGTATGGGGAATAAATAGAAAGAACCAGAGGTCCTAGAACAAGTGCAGAATTATGAAGAAATTGGGATTATGGAGACATGGTGTTATGGGGAGGAAGGAAAGACCAACCTGGTCCTGTCAGACCAACCTGGTGGCCTTTTATGACCAGGTCACTAACTCATTGGATGCAGGGGTGGCAGTGGATATAGTTTTCCTAGACTTCTGATACTGTCTCTCACCCCATTCTCATTAGGAAGCTGGGGGACTGTGGCGTAGACACCCATACAGTCCAATGGGTCGCCAACTGGTTAGAGAGTCGCACCCAGAGGGTGGTAGTGGATGGGTCCTTCTCGACCTGGAAGGACGTGGGAAGTGGGGTCCCACAGGGCTCGGTCCTTGGGCCCGCCCTGTTCAACATCTTCATCAGTGATTTGGATGAGGGGGTGCAAAGCACCCTGTTCAAGTTTGCTGATGACACTAAGATGTGGGGGGATGTGGGCACAATAGAGGGGAGCAACAGGCTACAGTTGGACCTAGATAGGTTACAAGGATGGGCGGAGGAGAACAGGATGGGGTTTAACACAGACAAGTGTAAGGTGATGCACCTGGGGAGGAACAATCGGCACCATACATACAGGCTGGGGAACTCCCCTCTTGTCAGCACGGAGGTGGAAAAGGATCTGGGAGTCATTATTGACTCCAAGATGAACATGAGTCGGCAATGTGGGGAGGCGGCTAGGAAGGCCAACTGCACCTTGTCGTGCATCCACAGATGCATCTCGAGCAGGTCCAAGGAGGTGATCCTCCCCCTCTATGCGGCACTGGTCAGGCCGCAGCTGGAGTACTGCGTCCAGTTCTGGGCGCCGCACTTTAAGAGGGATGTGGACAGCATCGAGAGGGTCCAGAGGAGGGCCACTCGTATGATCAAGGGACAGCAGGGTAGGTCCTATGAGGAAAGGTTGCGGGACCTGAACCTGTTCAGCCTTCAAAAGAGAAGGCTGAGGGGGGATCTTGTGGCCTGTTATAAACTGGTTAGGGGGGATCAGCAGGCGCTGGGGGAGTCCCTGTTCCCCCGAGCGCCGCAAGGAGTGACCAGGAACAATGGTCACAAGCTGGCGGAGGGAAGGTTTAAGTTGGACATCAGGAGGCGCTACTTCACAGTCAGGGCGGCTAGAGTCTGGAACCAGCTTCCAAGTGAAAAAGTGGAAACTTGATTGTAGTACTAGGAAAGAATATAAGAGCATCACATAGGCATGCAGGAAGAAAATTAGGAAAGCCAGGACACAATTTGAGATGCAGCTGGCAAGGGACATAAAAGGCAATATAAAAAGGTTCTACAAGTATGTCAAAAGAGGACAACCAGAGCAGCCATAGGTTCCTTATGGAGTGCAGATGGCAATCTAGTTACAGGTGATACAGAGAAGGCTGAAGTAAAAAAAGGCAGCAAAAACTTCAGTCTTCACAAATAGGGGCAGCTACCAGATAATGAATGCAGTTGGCAACAAAGATAGGGAAGGAGAGAAAAAGCCTAGGGTAGCAGAAGAACGCGTTGGGGATTGCTACGGTGGTAACAGACGTTGTGCAAAAGCCAAGCAAATAAATGTCTGTGACCTTCGTTGTGCTACAAATGCCCAGAATTTGTGGCTGTAGCAAAGATGCTATTGATTTGTGCTGCTATTTAGTGATAGACGTCTTATTTGCTTTGTGATGGGAGAGTACTCTCCAGCCAACCAGGCAGAGGACATTTAGGTTGGAGATTAGGAGGGACTTTCTGATTATGAGGGTGGTCAAGCATTGGAACTGACATCTCCATCCCTGGAAATGTTCAAGGGTAGGTTGGACAGTCACTTGCCTGGGATATTCTAGTCACGACTAATCCTGCCTTGAGCATGGGACTAAACCAGAAGAGCTCATGAGGTCCCTTCCAGCTCTGCTTTCCTATGATCTTATTATATATTTGCATTATGCAGGTTGTTGAATCTGGACAATATAAACTAACAGCCTAAATTTTGGGCAATTCATTTATATTTTCAAAACATTTTCTTTTAGTAATCTGAGGGCTTGATCCTTCAAACGCTTAGTGGTATGTATAATTCATGAGGAGATGGCACCATATCTCCAAAGTGCCTCAATTTTTTGGAAACTTGAACAATTTTCCTGATACCCTCCTCCATGCCCCTCCCCTCTCCCCCCTGTTATAAAACCCCATTGCAGCACACCCAGCCTGGAAAATTTCAGTGCAACTAATTACATTTGGGCAAAGTTATAAGGAACTGTACAGGTGCACTCAGAGCAATAGGGCCTCTGCAAGGAATCCATATGAGCCACACGGTTTCATGATTGGTCCTGTAGATTACTCTTCAGGGTACACATGCCACTTCCTACTACAGTTGTGTTGTGATGAGTTGTGCCAAAGATTCTTAGTTTTGTTCCACTGATTCTTTCTACATGTTTAAACTGGGAGAGGTTGATCCCTTCAATAACACTTCTCATGTTCTTACATCAGTACTAACAGAATCAGGCCCTAAAGCTGCTATCAGCAATCAGCATAAAGAAATTAGGGTTTATAAATATACTCTTAAAGGTGACATTTTGTTTGAAATGCCTGAAATTAGCTAACTGTGTCACTTGTGAGTAGGCAATGGAGAAGCTGATAGGGACCTGTACTGGAGATACTGTCCTTTGTAATATGCTACGCATCCCAGTATTTCAGGTTAATGTGCTAGTTCTGAGTATGTATCCTGTGCTCTGCTCACATCCAAGAGCGTAAGACTACTGCTTTATACTTGTATACAGTGACACTGTAATATTTTAGTCTTTACATTTATATAAGGGACTAGAAAGGGTATAAATAGCTCTTCTTAACTTTTAGAAATTTTAAATTTAATAGAGAAAGAAAGTTTAAGCTTAACTTGGTAAAAGTTTAAGACAGTGGCAGCCAAGATGCTGTGTGTTAATCCCTGAATTGTGCATAGAGTTATTGGGTAGAGAGCTTGAGTTATCTACTTGCTTGCTTTAACCCTATTATCTTAAAATACATTGTTTCATGTTACCAGGGTGAGACATGGGGATGGAATTATATACATGTTCTGGTTAGTGATACTTTACTTTAAAAAAAACAAAGAAATAAGAGCACATATTTGATTTATTTCTGTAGCCTTTTGTGCCCATCTTTTAGATTTTAAAAAACATGTAAAACGCCAAAATGTTTTAGGAATTATGAGGAATGTATTGAGATGCAACGTCTTATAATTTTTGGCACTATAGCAGTTTGAATTCCAACAGTTTGTTCAAAGCTGCTCCCACTTCTACTGACTCACACAGGAAGACTGCGGTTAGGTGACAGACTGTGAGATCTGAAACCTAATCTGAATGGTGAAACCTTAACCCTGCAGAAAGCCCCTTTTGATTTCAGTGAGAAGTCAGACAGAAGTCTGACAGCATCTGTTAACAAGGATCAGATTACAGGATTGTAGGCAACCCTTGATCCTTCTGGATCATGGTGTGTGTGTGAGAGGTCACCCAGACCTTCAATGTATATACCTGGGCAGGAGTATACAGGGCTGAGATTTTGGTATTAAAGACCAAACACCAGCTAGATAGAGCTTTTTCCTAGCCTTACTTGCAGACAGGCAACTTACTCAATTCATATAATTATTATTAGCAATAACAGAACTTAATCAAATGTCACAAAATGGTTTTTTTTGTCAATATCTTGTACATCACAAGTTCTAATGTATGGCTGTTCAATTTATAAGTGGCTGGGGCCACATGTCCTATAAGCTCCATACCCCCTCCCCCTCAACACCAGCCTGCTATACCATGTGCCCAGATGCCAACCCCTCTGCGCTTGCTGCACCTTGCATCACCCTGCAGCACTGTGCACCTAGGCACACCTCTGCTGCTGCACCACATGCAGGGTGCCTCTCCTCTGCATCCAGTGCCCCTTGCTGTCAGTCTTACCTCTATCCTTGGGAAACTCTTTGAGAAGATCCTCA